GAATAAACAAGATTTCCATATTGAGACATGAAAGGCCAGTAAATACATGCCCAAAAAGGTATGATCGCATTGAAAGAAAGTCTTTCCCCTTCAAAGGTTATGTACTACTTTGAGTTGGTCTGTCAAATAAAATCTCAAGAAAATACTTTGAAGTTTTGTTTGCATGTAAAAACATGAAAAACTTTGTTGGTATGCTTTTATAAAACACTGTACACATAAAAGAAGACTGACTGACTGGCCACCGGTAAAGATGGTAAAGATCTCAGACGGAGAAAAAAAAAACAAAATGTGGAGCAGAAGCAGGAAAAAAGATTAGTTGTGGGGATGGAAATATTTGGCCAACACATGTTTTTCAAATCCGCATCACCGCTATCCTCAAATAGTCAGAGCAAACATGGAACATTTTATAATGTCAAGAAGACTTATTTGATTAGATGATAAACACAGCATGTTGTATTTCTGTCAACTGCCTAGAGAAACTGCAATCACAGAAACCAGAATTTTAAGAAGGAGAGTCTCAGAAAACCTGAGTGACCTGACAGGAAGCTGGGCTGTTATTTCCCGAGAGACCTGCAGTAGACGTTTAAAGCTGCAGCTCTGACACACCAAAGACATTGTTAGGAGTGTTGGCATAGATGCCCCAGAGTGGCTAACATGCTGCCGTTTGTCACCACCAGCATTGGTGTCAAGCAGAATGCCAATCAGCGCTGCTTTATCCTTGAGCCGTGGATTCCGCTCTGAGATGGGAAGACAGCGATGCTGAACCCTGTGACACGGCACAGAGACCGCTCCGCTGGGAGCTCGACTGCAGTTAAAAGGGGTTATGACGGAATCAGTGGCATGGCCGCGGCCTCGTCCCCCTCCCCTCCGCTCCGCTGTGGGAGAGTGGGGATCAGATTATCTCGCATTGGGGGGGAGAGCGGCAGGGCTCAGAGCAGCTGCTGATTCTGGGATACGATAGCCCGGTGGTATGCCGGATGCTACGGTGTTAGCATGATTTATGGCTTTCATCTTAAAACCTGAACTCCTAATTAAATGTTTGGTCATCCATGTTCAGATGTTTTTATTACGTCAAAGGTAATTTAAAGAGGAAACAATGCCATGCTCCCATTCAACATCTGCATCAGAACATTGGATTAGAAAATTAACCCCCGCCCTACACACACAAAAAAGAAAAAATAAGTGTACATCACACGGCTTAAAAAGGAAACAGGGGCAGAATTTAATTAAACTGAATGATTTTTTTTAGTGAAAGCAAAGCCACCAGATGGTCTGGCAGGCTGACATGGTGGTTCGGATGGGCTGCGTTCAGAACGCTGATAAAGGCGCATTCAGACAGCTGGGGTCAGCGTGCTCCGACTGGGAGAAAGAGATCACATTGGTGGAGGGGTTTTCCCCCTGACTGACAAGTCACAGGACACCGGCTCTGACTCACACCAGTTAAACCCATTTCTATTCTGATCCACACAGGGGAGATAATAAACGATTTAAATGACTGAGTTAAAATATCAAGGCAGGCAGGCAGGAGGGAGGGAAGAGGAATCCTGAAGCAGCACATCCTTATAAGACATCTTTGGTGAGTACGAGCATCCGTGTTCTGCTCACCTGGATATGGAACTCTGCCCTTTGTTACCAACTCTGTCAGTAGTATTCCAAACGACCACACGTCTGATTTGATTGTGAAGCGACCGTACAAAGCAGCTTCTGGGGCCGTCCACTTGATGGGGAATTTAGCACCTGGGAATAAAATAAAAATAAATAAAAATTTGGTTAAAATTTTAAGCACAAGGTTAAAAAAAAAAGAGTTAAACGTACAAGAATAATAATATAATAAAAAAGGGAAAAATTAAGACAGGTATCATTTCACTCCCACCATTTTTCATGGCGGTCCCACTTTTGGTCCCACTTTTGAATTTACTGCACATTTTTATTTAGTCCAGATTGATTCCACATTTCAATCCGTATCACACCCTTAATAATTGGATAAAAGTTCTCTAGCAACTTAAAGAGAAACAACAATAGTCGTTTAGTAACCATGAGAAACTTCCTGGATGCGTTTGGTTTGAATGTTTAGCTGCTGCTGGTTCTGCTAATGGAACCAGAACCAAATCAGACAGAAGCAGAAAGAAATCTACCCCAAACACAGCTCTGCCAGGGATTGGGTCCGATTTCACTTTTTAAATCCCATCATGGATTCTGCTGAGAAGGGAGGCATCCAGAATGTGCATGTTAGTAGCTTCCCACTCTAACCCCAACCCTTATGTGTAATAATCTAAAGCAGTCTTTCAAAGATAGTCTTAAAAATACAACAGCGGCCATGTTGAGTGCACCAGTGGCATGGCGGTCCAAACACGCACCTTGACGAGCCGTGTACTCGTTGTCCTCTATGAGCCGGGCCAAGCCGAAGTCTGCGATCTTACAGACCAGGTTGTCCGCCACTAAGATGTTGGCGGCTCTGAGGTCCCTGTGGATGTAGTTCATCCTCTCAATGAAGGCCATGCCGTCTGCGATCTAGAATGTGCAGAACAAAGTGATGGGAGGATGTGTCGATAAGCGGAGGAAAAGCATTCTCACTCCATAATACTGCCACCACCACATTTCACTGGTTTTATACAGTTGATTTACTTCTATAGCATAAAAAAAAAACCTCCCCTTCATGATGTCTGCAGCTGAGCAGGCAATGATTTATTTACTATACCTGTGAAGCCATGTCCACCAGCTGAGGAAGCTTCAGATGTTTTCCATCTCCTTCTTTCAGAAAGTCCAGCAAACTACCTGTCAGAAAAAAACAAAACAAACAAACAAACAAAAAAAAAAAACACTACAGTTAAGCAGAATCAACACACCTGTGTGTACAAAGGTAATGCAGCAGGAGTCTGCACCACCCACAAAAGATGCGGCAAACAGACTCACTGAGGAGACATGAATGTTTTGGCGCGGATAATGTGGGACTTTTTTCCCCCACTAATCTCAATCCTCATATGGATCTTTGCAACTAAAAAGAAATCTACTTTTCTTTTACTTTGTAACCAAACTCAAAACATTAAATCCAACTTAATGATCATAAGTTACGCTGATGGAAGGTTATACAGCACAAAACAATTATTATACGTGGGAAAATGTTGAAAATGATTTGCTACGCCTTGTTAAGAGGTTATTTTAGCAGAGAAAACCACACCTTTTATAAATACATTTTTGCTTGATCTTCAAATCTCAAAGGTGTGAGAATGTTCTGCAGCAGTCATTTAGAAAAGCAAAACACATTTAAAGAAGAAGTTAATCACCAACTTCTGTTAACACTGAGGCAGAGAAATCACAACACAGTACAGGTTATTCAACTTCCAAAAACTGCGGTATATGACCTACAGTTTGAGAGTTTCATTGTTGGTAATGCAGATGTGGTCATGAATGTGGGAAATATTTTTAATTTTTATTTTTATGTGTGTGTAGATACTGGTGAAAACTATTTTTATAGCTTACAGATATTTTCCTTTTGAAACCAACAATAAATTTTGCACACTATGCATGGCAAGTGTTCCTGCTTAATCAGAGCAAAAAACGTCTGCTGGAGGGAGGAGATGTCACCTTTAAGCAAGGACAATCTGTCAGGACTGATTGAGATTTATCGTGTAATGAATGGTTGGCAAGATAAATGTGCAAGACGGAGGGGGGGGAAAAAGAAAAAAAAAAACACACGTAGAAGCAATCACCAGCTGGTCAATCCGCAATCTGGAATACATCATATTCAGCCTATTTCCAGAATAAAATGATGCTGTTAAGAATAAACTGTCGCTTTGCATTAAAACAACCCCCGTTATATCTGAGTTAGCCATATGGTCAATGAGGGAGCGCATGCCGTTAGCAGTGCTCCAACTGATGAGGACACCATTTAGAAATGCTGTGCTGGCAAAATCCCTGCGGATATGAAGTCAAAGTGGCAAGAGCAAACTCTGAGTAAAGAAATACCAGACAAACACCATTTATGCTAACGTCCAGATGTTTGTTTGAAAGGAGGGAAGTCTTGCTCTTTTTCACGATGCAGCAACAACCTTCCAGTTCGCAAAGTACAAACTAGCCTATTTTTTCCCCACTATGATAAAGTCTAAGCTTTACGTGAGATTTCTAACTTTTGTTTAAAGTCTTTTTAGTGCATTTAAACTTCTGAATTTGGACAAAGCTAAAAGATGACAAAAATGTCACTTTATAAAAAAATCATGGCTCAGTAGAAAAATCTGTAAGGTGTATCAAAATCCGCTATAAAATTTTCCAACTTATGCCTTTGAACTCTGCTTACCTTTACCCATGAACTCAGTGACGATGTAAATAGGCTCCTCAGACACCACGGCGTAAAGCGGCACCAGCTTATCGTGTCTGAGTTTCTTCATGATCTGAGCTTCCTCCAGAAACGCCTCTGGAGACATGGTCCCTGGTTTGAGTGTCTTGATTGCTACTTTAGTGGTTCCATTCCATGTGCCTGAGTAAAAAAAAACAAGGCATAATCAATAACATTGTCCTACGAGGCACATAAAGTGACTTAATATGATCCTTTCATATTGCTCATTTCTGGGAGTTCTCCCATGTGTACAAAAAACCCCATCAGCCACTTCCTGGTTGGGGCCGACTTACACGCGCCCTGCTTACGTACAATGAGCCGAGGCTGGCCTTTACAGATGACTCATCCTGACCAAACTCTACCAAGCTGAAGGACAAAGTAGGGCAAAATACACTCAGCATGCCATCTGAAATCAGAGTGACAGTACAAATGCTCCAGAAGCGTAGAGTGAGGAGGATTGACAGCAAAAAAGTTGCAGCAGAGCGGGAAAAATCCTGAGCAAACAGAGCAGGAAGAGGCAGAATGAAATTCCTGGGATTACCCAGCGGAGGCTCTCATGTCGATGCTTGCTGCAGGCCAGCCTCGGTTAAAGACGAGAGTCGTGTTCGCTCAGAGGGGCCTGTCTGAAATGCAGGCTGGAGAAATGAAGCGTATGACGTGACCTGTGGTTACAGAACTCTGTGTGCCACAAAAAGAGCCAACAGCCATAAAAAAAAATCAGTTTGTGGGCTGGTGAAGCAGCATGATGATCAGCTTCATTACCGACACACACCAATTAAACAGAGTTTACACACGTCAACTGTGTTTCACATTAAAACTGCATCATCTATGAATAATGTAAAGAGGATGCTTTGTCTCTGTGTGTAAGCCCTAATGGCTCTGTTACTGTATGCCAACAAAGCTATTTGCCTTCTTTACTTATTCATGAGCCAAGTGTCGAGTATCAATACCACCAAGTAGATTCATCCTCAAGTGTTGCTGACGTGGGAAGTACAACATGAATAGTTAAGGGTTGTGGAAACAAATTAATCTCTTTGTAAGCAAATTAATCCCTTTCTGATTCGTTCCTACAGAACGAATCAGAAAGAAACTTAGCTTTTAATGACTGAAACATGGTCTTAGCAGATAAATATGTGAACCATCACTCTGAACACCCCTCCGCCAGCATCATGCTGTAGGGGCGGCAGCATCATGTGCTGCTTTGCAAATGCCAGCCACTAGCATGGAAGGTCACACTGTGCCCATGTCAAGTTGCATTTCATTATCAAAACTGTAGATGCGCTCCAAGCAAAAACAAGCAAATATACTGCGAATAATTTGGAATTGTGTTACACAGAAACATCCATTCTGCAGATGGACAAGTGTCCACTTGGACAGCAAAGCTGCTGCGTTTTAATCGTCGTGTGTACATCTGACAAAAGCGATGGTATTTATGGAACTGTACAGCAAAATGAGTAAAATGGAGAGACTGAAAAAGCTTGGGTGAAAAAGCACTCTGTAAAAGTTAGCTGAGGATATTTACAAGAATTACTTTATCTACGGTAAAAATACTCCACTGAGCTAAGAAAAGCAGCTACTGACATATTCCTCTCAAACACGTCTCCAGAAGCCGGGAGAAAGCCTCTAGCTGAGTCACTTGCTCTAAAGTAAGTACCAGATGTATTTACAGTAAGCTCAGGCGCATCACAGTCTACCCAATTAATCTCTGACATTCAGCCTTATGCCTGAGTGCGTTGTAATCTGCGCCTTACCCATCCAGACTTCCCCGAAGCAGCCCTGTCCCAGTTTGACGTCCAATCTGAGGGACTCTCGGGGGATTTCCCAGGCATCTTTAGCAAGTCCCTGAGTTTGCGGCTTCACCGTCGGGCACACAGTGGTCAGCTTGTAGCACAGACCGTCCACATGTTCTGGGGAAGAAAAAAAAATAAAATAAAACAAACAGGCTGGCGTTACAAAACAAGTCATGATGGACCAATAATAAAGTTGGATAAAACAAAACTTAAGCACATACATTTTTTTTTTTATTTAATTGTGAGAAAAGTGGAAAAGCAACAAGTTCTATTCATTATCCGACAGATGAATTAAATCCTCAATATAATCGCTCTCTTAAAATTGGTGATATGAAGGAGTACTGACCTTTGAAAGCACAGTTAGTATTTATTACTTTGAAACATTGTTTTAATGATCAGAGATCAATATGTATAATTTTTGAATTTTCAATAAACTCTTTGTAGTACATGAGTTAACATTCTGCCATGTTGTGAAGCTTTCTTATCACAAACCAAAGGGGATTTTTTTTTTTTTTTTAAGAAGCAGCTGACTGCTTATCAATTCTGTGCGGATCAAAAGATGCATTTTAAACATTTATCTTAGCATCACATGATTTGCTTTTGGGGCAATTATGCTAATAAGGTCTTCTGCTGCTTACAAATTTGTAACATTTAAGATTTAAAGTTATTTTATTCAACCAGAAGTTTTTGGGTCTTGTACAAAAGGAGACTGACATCTCTTAAAAGCCAATAAAAACAATGCTGAAGGACTTTTACTTTTGAAAAAAACAAAAAAAACCCAAAAAAAAACAAGTGGTTCTTATGTGGAAAATGAAAAAAAATCCTCAGTCACAGAAAAACAACCAAACTCTTCTTATAACTTCTGACCAATAAATATTTATGGCTTATCGTTGGTGATGAGGTCTCTTAAGCTCTTGCCACAGATTCTTCATCAGGTTAAAGTTGAGACTCTGTCAGGCATATGAATACTTTTGTATAATTCTGTTTTATTAAATCCAACACCGTGTCATGAGGAATGCGACTTTACCAACCCAAATCATTTTGCCATTCCGTTTTTAAGACGCATTCCAGTGGTAACTCTTTTAATCCTGTTTGGTTTAGCATTTTTCCAAACCCATCAACTCTTTTAACATGCTAACAAAATTATGTCAAGCTTCACCAGCTCTCGACTTATCTTCAAGCAAGTTTGCATTTCTAAATGTATTTCTTATTCTTTCCTGATAAAACGTTCAGGGTTTCATACAATTTCCACATGTGAATAATGTTTTCCTCTGCAGATGGAGGGAGTCTGAACTATTTAAATATGACCTCAATCTATGGCAGGTCAAGTGCAAAATAGCATTCCCTCTCCAGGACCACTGCTCATGTTTTTCTTTCCTTGCCAGAACTTAAAATATGGTCCAGAAATGCTCAATACTTCATCTTCAAAAACACCACCCCGTTTCACTAATTATATTCATATCCCGATTACACAACCAACAAACACAAGACATGACAGGCTGGAAGAACAAGCAATTCAACCCCAGGGTTCTGTTCACAACGTAAACACATATTTGTGTAATGGCTACCTGAGAAAAAGGCCTTACAAGGCAGCATACCTGTGTAGTGTTTCACCAGCATCTGTAGTGACACAAACTGCGCTCGTGTAGTAATGTAATAACCCCCATTATCCAGCTTGCGGATCTTGTAGTGTTTGACGTTGTCTCCCTTTGTTTCGTCCCAGTCGCGTAAAGACAGAGAGTAGGCTCCTTTAAAATCCAAAGACATGAAGTTAAGTGCAAATCTCAGCAAAAATACTGGAGCAATGCAGGCCACCAGATGTAAACTGAGGAGGAAGTTTGCAGTTCTAAATTTAACCCCATACACTTAAAATCAGAAAAGAAATAAATTTTTAGTTTTACGAGAGGCACCTTGGCATTTAACCCTTTCACATGCAGACTTTCAGAAGAGTCAAAGCAATCCCTTACATTTAAACCAACTAGAGATATAAAGGTCTTTCTGTACCTAGTTTCTTTCTGAATGCATTTTCTTACCTTTTGTTGTCTCGCTCTCTCGTATTAAGAAAGTTCCCCTCTCATTTCCTGGTAGCAATAAGAGGCGCTCAGTGGCTTTTCGGCTCAATTTCCCAAAGTACCACCTGAGGAAGGGGGTGGGGGGAGTCAGAAACTTGAACAAACTGTAGACGAGTACGAGACGTTCTCATCAACAGAAGAACACATTCGTGATGCAATGTCTGAAAGCTGGACACCTGTCTAGTTCACGCAGTATTAAAAATGGATGTAGATGTTTTTTTTTAGCTTCTCATATGCGGGTAGCAAGTAAACATTGCGAATGCTCCAGGCACTACTGCTTATCACCCGATCTAATAAATATTTAGAGATTTCAAAAATTGTTTATTTCTATAAATAAGAAATAAGCTCGCAGCTCTAGACAATCTTCCTACTTTGAAAAACAGAGCACAGTCTATTTCCAGACACATCAATGAGCTCAGTCAGTTGTTTCGTTAGGCGGTATCGCATCCTGTCGATAACAGGTGCTCACTTGAGATTTTTTTTACACGTCTGGTTAAAGAAAATTGGCTGCTTTTCCCCCCAGTGCTTAAAACAGCCGGCATTAATAAAACTGTCAGAGCTAAAGAGGAATAAAAGTGTTGTTGTCACACCAGTGGAACTGAACAATAAGAATGCCACTGGTGAAAACATTAGCAATATGTTGTTTTTCCTCATTCCAACGCAGCCCAACATACACTTTTTCCATCTTAATCAGAAGGAAATCAGTAAAGAAGTTGGTAAACATGAGACTAACAAGCCGAATCTAAAGTTTCATGAAAATGCTCGAAAAAGTAGCAATTTGGCTCCTCACTCTTCAGACTGTATGGAGTCGGCTGGGGCCACATAATTGCTGGGGATGTAGCCGTTTTCTCCTGTGTTGATGGAGCGGGCCTCCCACCAGTCACCTTCCCTGAGGAGGCAAGAAAATAACCAATAATGAGCATATTAAACAAGCAAAAGCATTAGAGAGAAATACACCCACTCTCGTATTAAGAGTGCACAGCACACATGAAGATAAAAAGAAGCGAGGCCATTTCACACGTCACTCATATTGTATTGGGGGCGGAGTTTAGCCTCGAGTTAGAGCCTTGCTTTTCTCATCCAAGCCTGCCGACACCTCTGCAGATAGAAGCATCCGACAAAGACTTGAAATGGAAATAAAGCAACAGTCAAGCAATAATCTTTGTATTTATGGATATGGGTTGACGGTTTTGCTTCTGCTGGTCTTATTAATGTTAAAATTATGTTTTGTACCGTTTAGAAAAGTGTCATGTGGTGAGAATATTAAATTCTTGTTTGAACCAAAAACTACAGACAACTTTACAACAAGGCATCAACAGTAGGATGGGGCTGGTTAGAGACCCAGCCTATTTTTGATATACAAAGATTTTATAAAGTGAATTAGATAAACACAGAACTATCGAGTTATATAATTTTTCTGTTTTAAATTCATCAGATTTTTTTTAATGCTCTTAAACATCTTTGTACATGTACAGATACATGATTAAATTATCTTAAAACTCACATTTCCTCAGTATCCGCAGAATACCGAGGAATATAGTTGTGCTAAACTCATTTAACATTAATGAGTTTATTGTTCAAGAGCCCATTTTCCCTCTCTATAAACAGTGACCGATACTTCCGTCTCCCCAGGGGTTCTGGAAAGCCGTCATGTCACACAGAGACGAGAAACAAAGATGACTAAAACTGGCTTTATTTTACTGTTTGTCTGTGTGCCTCAATGTGAAGGGCACACATACATTTTAGAACCACAGCGTCTTGGATCAACTCCACAAAATTTCCTAGCTGCAATATTTCACAAATTTAATAGTGAATTTCCATCTGCAGCTGCTACATTGTGGAAATCCTGATCATTGTTCATGGGAAAACCTGGTATTTTTACTCAAGGTTCCCCCCACACTATGGGAATCTGGCCATTTACAGCCACAAGTCACTGTAGATATGTATAATGAAAACCTTTCTAAGCTTTGCTTTTATTAAATTTAACAAATCAAATCATGCTAAATGCAATATTAAGTAAAATTTAAACATTGAACAGGACAAAACTGTTAGGAATAAATTCATTTCATTAACTGATGAGACATTTACACTGGCTCTAAATATTAACATACAGATGGTTATATTTAAAAAAACAACAACAAAAAAACACTTTATCGGAAAATAAACACTCCAGCAAATGCTTTCAAACTTTACAAATAAACGATTACTTAGAAGAAATTCTGCAAAGAAATAAAGACATGAGATCCTAAATTTATCTGATCCAAATTCAGTGAGATCAACAAGCAGATCTGAGGGTTTAAAATTAAGACGGGAGGAGCAGGGACGCAGAGGCAGTGCGTCTGGTGGCATTTTGAAAGAACTTGGTTTAATCTGTACTCTTCCCACCTCTGCTCCGAAAGCAGATGGCATTTTCATCGCTATAAAAGCCATGTGAGCCAGACAGCGGTGGGAAGGGAAGAGCCATGTGATGAACTGAGGAGAGCAAACTTGGAGCGCTGCCCATTTTCTCAGCTGTGCACACGTGGGAAAAGATTGCAGAGCAGCAGCTGATGGGGAGACGACAAAAATGAGTTTTCTCCGAGTAATTTATCACCTCTTTTGCACGCATAATCCACATTGTTGAGGTATTTTGTAATGCCAATTTTATATTTGATCACATTCCAATACTCCAGAGTATCTGAAATTCATGTTATTACGAAAAATATGTCAGGTTTATGTTACTCAGCTGAACAGCAAAACTCAAATTTTATCCACCAACTCAGAGGAAAGGTCTGCGCCTGTGCAGGTGAAAAGCAATGGGAACCTAACAGATGCTCCATTAATGAAAGCCATTAACCCAGACAGTTCTCAGGCCTGATATCAGACCTCAGTTCAATAAGGGAT